CATTAATTGATGTGAATATCAATATTATATTTTTTTTCCTTTCAAATAAAATAAAAATTATCATTGACCAAACGTTGATTATGATTTTAAATATAATGAAATTTATTTAATTTAATATATTTTAAATAAACAGGAAACTTTAAAACTAATAAAACTGTCGGCTTTTCACACAAATTCACCACTCGGAAGTAGATCTGGGTATTATTTCATTCTTATGGCGAGTCGAGATTTACTTTCTTCGTAAAATTAAAGACTAGAAAGAAAAAGTAAGCAGTACTAAAACTAATTTCGATTCTTAAACAAGTTTTTTCGCGATGATATCACTGGCCGTAATTGCAGCATGTGGGCAAAAGGGCGTGCAAGTACCGCAGCAAATGTTTGTCGCTCTTGAGTGTAAAAAGGCCACTTTGGTCGGTACTGTGCGTGAGTTCAGCATTACATTCAGTACATCGCGTCACCACCACCTTCGCCTCTGACCTTTCAGTGCACGCTTGAGATAAACTGCTGCATTGAATCATCGCCGGTTCGAACCTTGCCTCAGGAAAGCGGCTTTTTATTATTGAACTTGAATCAAAGCCGGTTTTTGCTACTCTGAATCATTTGAAATTCGTTTTAAAAACATGAGTGACTCATTTTATTGGTAAGCTAAATTGAATTAAAAACTTTTCAATCAATTTCCATTTTATATGAGTGAAAAAATGAATTGTTAGAAATAAATTTTATAAAGGGAAGGAAAATAATTATATATTTTCCTGTTTTGCTTTCCTCAAAATCTGCGAGTCTATTTTGGTATCTGTGACAAAGGCTCGAATCCTCGCCGTCTGTCGCCTTTGTCAGCAACATTGATAATGTTTCTTCTGCGAATCGGAAATTGGAGGAGTTGCTTTTTGTGCGCCGGGCTTTTGAACTGTTATTCCAATTAAAAGGCCGTTCCGCGTAGAATTGGTCGTTGCGTCGGATTTCAGGGAAACTATTGATTTTCGCGTGGGGGGCTCGAATTCGCTTTTTCCGGGACGCGGTGCCCACCAGAACGCCTACCCCTGAGGGCGGCCGGGCAGGGCAGGTGGAGAAAATAAACTGGGCGTTGCTGCGAGAGGATAATCGAATTTGCGCACTTAAGGCAATGATGTGCTCACAAGCGAAAAAAAAACAAAAGAATATTTTTCAGAAAGAGAGGATAAATACAAAAAAAAATCAATTAAAAAAAATAAATAAGAGATTTCATGCAGATTCAAATGATAAAGCTATTGATATTTTCAATATTTTACACAAATTTTGCTCCTGAATAAGTTAGTGTTACGATTTGAATTTTGATGTTAAAATGTGGTGTTTTTCAATTTTGCTGATTTTTTTGTATTTTGCTTGCTCATGAAATAAGGTCGCAGACCACGACCAAAACTGGTTTGTTTTCAAATATAAACGATTTTTACAGCGAGGACAAGCATGACTTCTTCATTTCCATGATCATCTTCTTGAGTATAAATCTCTTCAAACAAACATAGCTCTTTTATGAACTAATTTTTAGAGATGATTGTGCTAAATGAAAATTAGATAACGGCAGCTCAGGGCTGATTAAAAACCTATTTTTTTTTTAATTCTTATATTTTTTTTTACAAAATTTTCAGTTATAGTTTGCTCATTTATGAATTAAAATATCGCCGTTTTAAAATTCGGCACTCGTTTCATTGCCAAATGGGTGAAACGTTTACCAAGAAAGATGGATTGTTTGGACGAGAAGGAAGAATGCTCGCTCTCGTTTTGGCTGCCGAGGTGCAAAATGGATGACCTGCACTTTTTCCGCGGCTCGCTTTCAGGAGCCACGCCATTAATAACACGCCGGGCACTTTTATTATCAGTTCTGGGGCAAACGTACCAGCACTTTTTGCCGCAATTTATTAGACGCAAATTTTATATCACTGCGGTAAAGGAGAAAGAAACGACGCCGAAAGTTTATTTTAATGCTTTTTCTGAGAACCCACTGAAGTAAACATAGAATGATAAAATTTTGCAAAGTCATGAAAGAAAATGAGAGGAAAAGTTAACAACTTATTTATGCCGCAAATTTTTTCGTACATCCAATCCAATTTTCCACAAATGAATAATTAATGCAATAATCCCGCGGCGCTTTTTGCAAAATTTCACCAATCTGCCTTTTTTATGAATAATTGATGAAAATTTCTCTTCCCTCGTCTAACTGTGAGAAAATAATGGAATAATTAAGTCGGTGACGATGCGTGGAAACAAACAAAGTGCGAATACGGACGCACATAAATATTTTCTCATTATTTGACCGCCTCCAACATGCGGCGGTCGTTATTTTCAATTTGCAGCGCAGAGAAATGAAGAAAGCAGACAAAAGGGCGTGCGTGTGGCTGATGTTTTTGTGAAAAATGAAAGTCGCGCGGGCAAACGAGGCGTAGGGGTTAAAAGCTTAGTATCAGCTCGCGTGCATCGGGCGTCCCGCGAGTGAATTATTAAAAGCCCCCGGAAAAGCCTCGGGCACCTGTGGGCGCGAATCGAACGTTACAAAAACATGATTTCATTCATTCGGCAGTCTAGAAAATGCATCGGATCTTTTGTTTGCATACAACTTGCTGCGCGAGCCAAAAGGGGTTTGCGTTCGGACTATGACTTTTTCGAGACGGTAACCTTTGAAATTTACATGCCCGTGAAACACTTTCGCTTGATGCAGTGCCATCAACCTCTCAAGAAATTTATAATTGAATTTTGGCCTATATTGGGAATTTAAAAAAAAAGGGGAAAATGGAATAAAATTCTTCAAATTTTGGTTACAAATAACTGGATGGGACATTTTAACCCTTTTAAAGTTTTCTATTTACAATTATGATCAAAATTAGTCACAAAGTTTTTACTTCAAACATTTTCCCACAAAATTTTGTTATCCCCAAGAATTTTATAGCCAATTTTACTCTCAACTTTACTCGAATTGAATTTAATTAAAAAATTTTATTAAATTACAACGTTCCTTCTAAATTAATTTAACTGGATTATTGTTTGGCATGAGCTGCAGCAAGTCTGAAATCGCCTGATTAGAACGCTTGGCCAACAAGATCGGTGATGTAAGAAGTGCCGCTGACGCGTTGGACTTTTTTTTCTCTTCTCGCAGCGCACATTTATATACTTTCTTTTCCTCCTTATTTTTTTCCTTCTCTCTCTTGAAAATGCTGCACGAACGAGCAGTCAGTCAACCACGGCGCGTTATCCTTAAGGGCCCGTCCGCGTTTATGCGCGAGCTTTATTTTTAGCACCATTTGATCCACCCGCCACGGCATAATTAAAAAGGCGGCGACACTCGCCTAAAAAAATTTCCTCTCTCTCGTTCGATCCGACGTGAATAAGTTTTATAAACGACTTTGACTTTTGGATGAGACTTTGTGCTGAAGAAGCAAAAGCCCGCGTGTCACTTGTCAAATCGACTCGCGGGCTATTTTGGAAATAGGAACACGGACGCGAGAGACGCGCCTTCCTGTTCGAGGAGCTATTTTCAGACACGCAAACTCATGCCCAGTTTTGACACTTGGGCTGTCGTGACAACTTAAATGAAAGACTTTTCAAGTTGGCAATAAAAAGAACTCAATATATTGATTCATGGTAATTTGAATTAAAAATTGGCTCTTCCTCGATTGATTTTGTGAGCTGTTTATTATTTAAGAAATAACAATATCCTGCTCTACATGTTTCGCCTGCAGCCACAATTCATGAGCTGTGAAATAATTTTGACAATAATTATTAAAAAAATCAATCTTTTAAAAATATTTTTCTTTCGAAGAAACATTTTTTCGTGAAAAATTATTTGAAGTTACACAATACAATTTTTTACACAAAATTTGGCGAATTGAATTCTAAATATATATATTTTTTTCATTTAAAAATGAATTTGTAAATCAATTTTGTTCAGAATATTCTACTATACAAAAATAAATTTAAGTAGAAGTTTTTTTTCTGATTTTAAAGGCATTTTATTGCAATATTTTTCAAAGGCATATCAAATTTTATTTTCACTCCAAGGCGTAGTTTTCATTTAATTTAATACACTTGTTAATTTACTGTTATAAAGTTTTGAAATATCTTATAAAAAATAATATTAAAAGGAACAATTCTTCATAATTCATAATGTATTTTTAAGCACTTGATGAATCCTCTTTCTTTCTTTATTATCTCAGGCCATTATCGCGCTACAAAGGAAAGTTGTAATTTGCCAACGCTGGGATCAAAAGCGCGTATCCATCTAACCCTTCCCATGGGCCGGCCTCTCTGCTTCAATCCGACGTAGACTTCTTCGTCTTGCACAAATTGGAGCACACCATTCAGTTCGCACCTCGCCTCTTACCTCACTCGACGCAAACACTTAAGACAGCAGCGTCATTGTGAAGGGAAGGGCGCGAGAAGATTCTCCGTGAAATCGTTACTTATTCCTGGCGGGCCGCGCAATATTAAACGGCGAAAAATCGTGCACGCCATTAATTAGAAAAGGAGAAGTTCAACATTCTGAACTTCATAAAAAGCAAGAGGAAGTTTTTTAATTCAAGATTAATCTCAACAGTTTGAGATGGTTTTTTTTTTGCTGACAATGAGCCAAGCAAGCGATGATCTTGCATAAAGAAAATGGACCTTTCCGTCTGTGCAAATAAAGCGTTCTTGCCAGAAAATGAAAGTGAATTTGGCTGCATGTCTGGTAACCTCAATAAAGCGTGAAAATTAAAAGTAAACGCGCCACTTATTGGATTACCCGACGTTAAGTAACGAGGTTTTAACATCAAAAGGCAATCACGCGTGAAGACTAATTATCCACGCAAAACTGACAATATTATCATTTCATAGCCCGAGAGTGGCTGTCTGAGGATAAAATCACTTTCGAGAGCCTCTGAAAGTGCCAACTTATATAATATGATCCGTGTCAGTTTCTGGAGTGATTTATTGAGCACCGCTTGAGCTTGAGTTGGGCTGAAAATAAAACCGCCTTTTTTCCACTGTTTCAGAGAGGAGGTGACGGAGCACGCAGTCAGATGGGGCGCCAACTTCAGATTTGTCTGCAAAATGTCCGCGAACATCTCGACGGGCATTCTCGACCCCTGCCTCCTGAGAATATCCGTGCGGAAGGTGAAGTTTTCTTTCACAAATCTCTTCAAATAATTGTAATAATTCTTGCAGGAGGTCAAAGGCGGACGCACATTCCAGAAGTTGGGCTTCATCGACCTGAACCTGGCCGAGTTTGCCGGCGCCGGCGAAATGACGCGACGGTACCTCCTCGAGGGCTACGACACCAGACACCGGCAGGACAACTCGATGCTGAAGGTCACAATCAGAATGGACATGCTGGCCGGTGATATCCTTTTCAAAGTGTGAGTCTTTTGTTTTTCGGCGTCTAGAGCTGAGAGTGACGGTTAATTGTTTTCAGTCCCACGCCTCCTGTGATTGCTACAAATAACCAGGAAGAGAGCGCCGATCTCAGTGGAGGATCAATCGCGAGTGGCAGTTCTGGATTTGGCAGCTTACCTAAGAAAAGACCGCCGCTCTTTGGCTCAGGTGTGTAATTGGCGCATCCGTCACACATGACAGGAGCAATAAAGAATAAACATTCTCAATTTAAAAAAAAAATCATTCCCTTTTATTAATTCTTTCTAGTTTTAATTCAAAATTGTGATCTACATACAAAATAATGAAAATTTAAATTATGAATGATTTTAAGATGGTTCAGATATTTATAGAAAATTAATTTCACTTAGAAGTTTAAATATAGCTTTTTCTTTAATTTTCCTACTGGCCAAAACTAATTTATAAAATATTAAAAATAGTGGAATATTTGATCTGATGTTGTAATTAATGTCCAAATTTTAACCCTCCAGAGTTGGTCCCAGCCATTGAGCATTCCTCTGCAGCGGCAGATCTGATGCCGCCCCCGATGCCGCCTCCAGACTTTGATGCTCCGGCGGTTCCCTCGAACCACATCACCGTGGACGGTCTGGCCCACGAGCCAGGCCACTCTCGCAACAGCAGCAACACCAGTCAAATGTCCAAAGCGTCCGGCTACAGTTCACTAAGTCAGTCCCAACACAGTCGGCAGAGCAGCTCCGGCGACTCCGGACACACTCGGTAAGAATATTCAAATAGCCCGACTCAATGTCAGAAGAATTGAATGAATGTATTATTATTTAATTGAGTAGCAAAGTCTTCAGTGTTTATATTTAGGTTTGTCATGAGGCATGTTGCACTTTTTATCTGCACTTGTGTCATAGCAACAAATCAGTAGATTGTGTTTTGGCAGAAAATATAATTAGAATTTGTTTTTTGAAAGAAAATAATGGCCTAGAGATTTTTCGATGTTGTTTTTTAAATCAGACTGATGTGTAAATTTTATGTCTGATGATCAAAAATGCAAAATTCGATGTAAATTAATAATTTGCGCTCCTTCTTGGCTGACCTGCATGATGTGTTTGTAGGAGCCGTCGCATTTCCACCCCCCACTCCCCCAAGTCAATCCAACTGTCCCTTGTCCCCTTGCATGAGGAGCCGTGGCCGTTGTCGCCCAACTACCGGCCACCCCCGCCCCCGCCCTTGGTGTGCATTGAGCCGCGGGTCGTGTCCTCCCTGATCGCGCTCAGGGTCAACCAGAACCTGCAGCACCGCACCCGCTACTACTCGCTGTCGACGCACTGCACCAGGATTAACAACAACGGGCCCGCCGAGTGCCACTGCCCCCTGCATGCCATTAAGAAGTAAGATCCGTCGCTGGCTGCCGCTTTTGTGTTTTGCCTAAAAAAAAGAAAATGGGCAGCGCTCGCCACATTCATTTGATCCTCCTGCCTGTCGCTGCGGTTTTGAGTCCGGTTTTTGGTCCGCTTTGATTGTTGAGTCTCGTTTTTTTTCTGTCGATTTGTCCCAACTGTAAATTAAACTTGTGCTTTGTCACCTTCAAATTTACAGCATAATATCTGAATTCAATTTTTGGAATGTTTTATACTGGAATTTTAAAATAGTTAAAGTTTGCTGCAGATTTGAAAGGTACCGTAGCGATGCTAGTTGTACTAAAATTGTTGTTCCCGTGCAGTTTGCTAGCTCAACATCGAAAACACCACGAAGGCGCGTTGCGCGCGGCCAAGTACTCGGACGAAGACCTAGTCGAGGACAGCGACTCGCCATCGGAGCTGCTGCAGAGGAGACGGAGCACACCGTTAGTGCAATCAAATATTACCATCAGACGTGGCCATTGATTAATTATATTTGTTTGCCTGTCGTGATTGATTGTTTTTGCACCATGCCTCATTATTTACTTTGTTAAAATTATAGTTTGTCGATGTGTACAACTGCTAGGATTATGTGTGTATAATTGTTAATGTACAAGTTATCTCCGTGCTCTTACTTATTTTGATTGACATTTTTAGCACTTTTTGTGTTTAGATTATTTAATAATATAACATTTTTCTTTTATTCAAGTGCATGTTGATTACAAACTTATATTTTAATCAACTTTTATCGCAACACGGATCTGCACCATGGACTGTGCACTCGAGTTTTTGAACCATTAGATTCCAGAGAAACATTGTTTTTAATTTAGATAACTTTTTCTGAAGCCACTACTGCAGCATGTGCTAGGTGTATTTTTAGCAAAATGCTCCGCAGCATGGTTGATTTTAATTTTTGCCGATATTCGATAATAAAGTTGTGAAATTTTTCAGGAATCCGAGTTCAGGGTCTGGGCTGAGTGAGAGCGGAGGCGGGTCGTTGGAACGCGCTAAAATCTCAGGTGATAGAAGAAAGAAGGGCTTGCCTGAGGACAGCAGTCAAAGTTCAGTCATCAACACGGGCAAGGAGTCAAGAGTTGAGGTGACCAGGGTCAATCCGAACGAACTCATCGCCGAACTTCTGCAAACGACAAATCTGGAGCAGGACGAAAGTGCAGAAAGTAAAAAATTTACTCAAATTTGTTGACAAATTTTGATATAAACTTTTCTTTGCAGCTTCTGGTCTTCAACTTTTTATCGCCAAAGACGGTTCGACCGCATTCGGCAGTCACGACGTCAAACGGCAAGCGTCTTCTGGAGCCTTCCAGCAAGTAGTGATGGACAAGAGCTAGTTTAGAGTGTTCGTCTCGCATGTTCCAAAGACAAATGGCAACTGGAATGCTCATTCAAAACCATCAACTCACATTTTTAAGTAAAAGCATTATTAAATCAACGTCGTACCACAATTGTATGGAGGCCCAAATTAGATGTCGTGCTTTGTACTAGACGGTATAATCGCAATTTAATGTAGTCTGTCTCCCATTTCAATTGACAGAACCCGTAGAACCAAAGGCAATGATTTTAAAATTTGGCTTCGTTTCATCTCTGTCGTCGAAGAAAATCTCAACACGGATTGTGTACATGAGCTTTCCAGAAAAGCCCGGAAGGAAAATTCATCAAGCCTGAAAAGCCAATTTAACTTAGAAGCAAATTAGCAAGTTTAAGGAGTGCCACGTGTTTGGTTCTAAAAGCTGAGTGGAAATTCAAATTGAACAGCTTTTCAAACTTTGTCAGAAGTCTGCTGGTCTACTTGCTGGGCCTTTGATGATAATCATGCAGTTATTGAATCGAAATAATGGCAACAAGTAGTTCAAAGTATTCACAATAATATAAAATGAAGAACTTGAGACAGTTTTTAAATTTAAAAAACTCATTAGGCTTGATTTTGAGAACGAGACTCAATTTTGAAATTTTCAAAAATTCCGTGGTGCGAAGCCAAAATAATCGATTGTTTGTGTAAAGAAATTTTAATCAAGGTGTAGCACAAATTTATTTCATCACTTGCATTCAAACCCATTGACCATAATTATTTTCAAAATTGCAGTCTCGAAAATTAAAGGAATCAGATGGATATTGCCATTATGTACGGAGACTTACTTAAAAGCAGCATTATTGGCCTTTGGAGTATTAAATTTGTCGCAAGTTAAGGAAGTTTCATAAAAGTAGACGTTCAACCCCAATAACAGAGTCATTGCAGTTTGGGCTCATTCTTTGTATTCCTATCTAACATTGTAATAGCAAATATTGTGAGTTTCCTCCAGTGAGGAGTTTTGGAATTATCAAGTATGATTGTAAAATTCTCAATTGAAAAAAAAAATAGTACCGTTTGTTGTCTTCCGTTGATCACCTACAAACAGATTGTTCAATTTCTAAATTAGGGGAACTTTTCCATTAACTTTATAACATGTGCGAAAGAATTATGAGATGAAAAATTAGTTGTTGTCTTTGTTTTTTACCAGTGTGATATTTGTCAACATCATAGAATGACGTTATAAAAGTGAAAACCTACATTTTAGTTATATATTCATTTTGTTAAAGGTGTGCTGCAAATTTATGGCGCACGCTCCTTTTGTATCTACCCCATGTACCATTCATTATACACAGTATATGTAAATATGATTTTATTTTTGTGTTGTATAGCTGTACAGTAATGTATAGTTGGTAATATTTATTAGCAGATAAATAGTGCATTTTGTGCAATGTGGAGAAACGATGTATGTGGAAAATGCTGGCATCAAAAATTTTAAACCAGTTGAGAAAAAATAATAATAATGATTATATATTCGGCATGTTGCATAAATTTCTATCAGGCTTTGTTCTTCCTCAATGAGGGAAATCTGAAATGATCATATCTTTTTATTTTTCTACTAATGCATGAGCAAAAAATAATTACGAAAGAGGTACAATCACGGAGAATAATAAAAGCAAGCAAGCTGAGCCTTGAATTATGTAAGAACCACGAAAGTCAATGTGAATGAAATTTGACAGGGACTCAAGATCAAGAGCACCGAAGTGTGAAAACTATTTTTTTGAAAGTGTGAAAAAACGAACCGTTCAATGACATGTGACGTAAAATCAACTAACGACATGATCTATTATGTAAAAGAGCCTTAAAATACAGCATCGTGTGCATCATTTTGAAAAAGAGCCAAGAAATGCAATAAAAAAATGAGTTAAATGTAAAAAGATTTTTATTCTTGATTAAAAAAAAAAAATAATAGAAGTCTAGACTTGAGAATCCTTGAGTTTTCATAAGTAAAAATAAATAATTAGTTGATCCTGAAAATAAGGTTTCTAAAATAAATTGATTTAAATAATAATTATTCAGAAGTTTGAGAACTTGGTTTATTTATCTAAAAGTCGTTTTGCGCTGCTGTTACATTCTTTGTTTTCCACAACGAAAAAAAAATGCCATAATTTTTGTAACTTAAACACCAAAAAGCTGCATGCGAAAAGAGCAAACAAATCTGATTTATTAAGATTCTGTACAAAATATTTGTTTGCAAACAATTTTGAACAATTCAACATTAGAGCATTTGACAATGGTAATTGAGGATTAAATCAGTCCCAGTATAGTTTGTGCTTAGTGAGTAGAAATAACATAATTAAATAGTAATAGGATTATGAATTGCTAGAACAATAAATGAGCCCCGTATTTAAGAATAGGAAGTGGGCTGGAAATTGGTAGATTTTAGTGGAAAAGTATCAAATCATAAATTAGATGCCTAATGGAAAGCAGCAGAAAATCACATTTACATTTTAAAGAAAGGCGTAAAGCAATAGAGGAGGGAACAGAATCACAAATTATCACCAATTAGAGTGAGCTGGAAATACATAGAAAATTATAATCAAGGAAAAAGGAGGATTTTCCACAGTGTCTACAATACAAAGACTCGCAGGAGTTTTAAGTATAACAAGTTGGATATTATTATTTCCGTTGCTGAAAAATTTTAAGAACGAATTAAAATTGAGAGAATTTAAATATTTTCAAGCTTCAATAGTCATGGCTTCAGCTTGAACAATAAAAGGCACAAAAAGTGCCTAAGCATAGTGCAGATCCTTCAATTGAGATTTCCTAGTATAAAAATCTTGAACTTTACGATAAGATAGAAAACATTCGTAGGCTTCAGAGTTGCATTGATTATACATTATAAAAAGCTTAGAAAATTCTTCTACTCGAAGTTGGTGTTCTTAGCAGAGGATTTTTCGCACACACCAGCACAAGCAGCAGAGGCCGCAGCTCAAGAGCAGTCCGACGATGACGAATGCCACGATCGTCACCACAATGTCTCTCCTAGACAGAAAATTGATAATTTTTACTACAAAAAATTTAATAATTTCCAGTTTTACATGTTGTCATCGAACTGGCTTTGGGTGCAGCATTGGTAGCTGAAGGAGCCGAGGTTGAAGCAGCAAAAGCTGTTGTCGTCGTCACCAAGTGGAGGACAAGCCAGCACGTCCGTGTTCACCAAGTTGATCAGTTTTTGTTTCGTGTTGGAATTCGCCTCGCAGCGGATGTGTGCAGAGACTAAAGAGCAGATTTTTTTTTAATCATCTCACAAAATTTTTTTGTATGCATACCAGTAGAAAAAACGCCCAACAGGACGACCATCGTGACCAAGACAGGCTGCATCTTTGCTCTCTGAACTCTCTTGCTCGTTCAAGATTAAGATTAAAATCCACGGCTTGCCAGAGAATAATATTTATCCTTGAAATCTTCTTTCCAGCGTTAGTAGAGATCGACTTTGTACGGTAATTTTTATAGGAAATCTGAAACAGATAAAAAAATAAAGTCTAATATTCGTCGGCTACGCGGCCAAATGGCCGATCTGGTAATTACCCCTGTGGGGAAAATGGCTAGTGGCCACTTTCCCCGTTGGGGAAAATGGCAGATGAGCCTTTTTTTAAATTTTACAGGAGAAGCAAAAAACTGATTATCTGCTCCAATTTTCAATGTTCAGATTTCAAAATTTGAACCAAAGTTCAGCATGTTATTGCAGATAATTTGGTAGACTTAATTTTCTTTTAAACCTTAATATACAACTGTTGTAAGAAATTTAAAGGGAAGTAACTCCACACTGAAAGAGTAAAACGTGCAATATAATCGAAATTAAACCACTTATGCGATTATTTCTTGCTTTTCTTTGTTCAATTTAACTTAAAAATAATATTTTATAATATAATTTTATTTTAATTCACCTTTTTTTATAAAATTTTTATTATTTTATTTGATTTAAATTAATTTAAATTTTATTCTTTTATTTGCACAATAGTAAACAATTTTGGCATTAAAAGCATTTATTTTATTTCACATGACCCGGCGTCACTTCTAGTTATAATCTCATGAATAGTTTTACTGATATTTACTATAAATTGCAATAATTAGTAAAGTAAAATCTAGCTCGGATACAACATAAAGCTTCTGGTTGCATGTCAAATATTTTAATAAAAAAATCTATATTTTACTATTTATTTAATTTTAAAATTATATCTATTTTAAAGAATTATTGGCATTATCACGCAAAATGCATGAAAAAGCCTGTCACTTTGGAATATAATATTGACGAAACTACAGCTTATTCTGATATTTTACTTCTTACTTAATGTTAGGTATTTTATTAAATTTATTACAATTTTATTTTTTTATTTTTTACATTTTCGATATTTTCATTATTTTTAACATTTATTGCATTTAAAACAATTTTGGCATTATTCAGCAAGCGGGAATGCTGCCTGCTTGCCTGTAAGGGGGCGTGGCACTGCCTTACTTTTGCTCCATGAACTCGCGATAGTGAGACATCTACCGAGAAAGTTGATACTTTTATGGTTATTTCTGATGCAGATTTTTACACTGAATGCATTGGAACAATAAAAAAAATTTGTCCGGAAATGCTCATCTGCCATTTTCCCCAACGGGGAAAGTGGCCACTAGCCATTTTCCCCACAGGGGTAATTACCAGATCGGCCATTTGGCCGCGTAGCCGACGATTTATATTGTATGACTTCAAACAAAATAATATGACACGCTCTGATGTAGTTTATAATTTACCAACAATGACAAAATTTAAAAGAATTTTGACACAGGATGCAAAAAGTAAAGGGCAGAAATTTCACGTTTTTGTGTAAAACAGGGACAAGGTTACTCACTTGCTATTGTTTTGATTGTGCGTAAATGATTTCGCCTGCAGAAATGCAAAATAACATCAGGCCGATCGATGTTCGAGCAAATTATGATCCTTGAATTCTGCAAAATGCTCACCAAAAGAATTTTTCCTCAAACTCAACGCTGCTGAAATGTTTAATTTCCAAAGAGTGCGAATTTTGCGAGTGGGCGGACTCGTGAGTTGTGAGGCGAAAGAACTGCAGTTTGCGCCTAGTGCGCCTGCGCCTGCAAGAAATAAGTTCAGTTCAACTAAGGGTTGTGATAAAGGGCGGGGCTTAGGTGCCAGCTTTACATTGCGAAAATAGGGAGGCTCCGCCCTTTTATGTATCTTATAATTCTACAATTTCAACGAAGGAAGCGCCACGGTGAGCAATCAAGATACTAGGGCAGCTCCACGCCTCGACGACACGACGGGGGCGTGTCTGCCAAAATGTCCTCAGCCAAAAGTGGTGCTCGTTCGGGCGCCGCAGAAAAAAACGGCTCGGTTTCGGCGCTCGGCAAGTCGGCGAGCAGCGATCTGACGTCGCCCTGGTCCAGAGCGTTCACAGCGAACGCGGAGTGGCCTGACAAGGTGCGATTCGATTTAATTTGCGTCGTAATCTGACATTTTAATTTGTGCCGCAGGATGAGTTTCTCGACGTCATTTACTGGGCCCGACAGATCTTGGGGATTGTCATTGGAATTGTTTGGGGAATTTTGCCTTTGAAGGGATTCGTCGCGCTGCTTTTGTAAGACTCTCATTAATTAGTTCAAAACTCATGAAATTTTTCATATTTTTGTAAAGTTTTAATTAAAAATCTCAAAATTTTGTATTAAATTGTTTTTCTTCTTTTTAGATTTGCTGTTGTGAATGCTGGCCTGATCTATCTGTATTTTTCTACTTTCCAAAACATCGACGAGGAGGAATTTGGAGGTGCCTGGGAATTAACGAAAGAAGGATTTATGACTTCATTTGCAGGATTTTTGGTAAGGCTAAATCTTAAAAGTTAAAAATGATATATTTGATTAGAGATTTTAGTTATCTCATAGTCTAGTTTTGACAAATTTGCTTTTCATACTATATGTAGTTCGTTTAATTCAATAATTAAATTATAGGAGCTCTTTAAAATCTCAACTCTGGATTTTCTGGAATTGAGTTTATTGGAGTTTATCAAAAAATCTAAGAGCCCGCGGATGAAATTTATTCATAAAGCCTACAAGGCCTATCATTTAATTTGTTTTACTGCAAGTTCTATAATTAATTAAATTAAAAAAGGGGTGAGTTTAAAAGTTTTAAAATTCCCTTTTTCTTTAATTTTAATTTAAACAAATCCGCAATGGGTCCCAATTTTGGTAAAGAATTTTTTAATAATCGTTCAAGTCTAATCAGTAATTAACTGAGCTATAGAATCCAGAAAAAAATCATTTTCGTACAATGTTGTCAGGTGTCACAAAAGAAGCCTCACATATTTTTTTGCCACATCATTGCTCATTTTATTGATTTTATCCAATTTGTGGCTTCTTTAATTAATAATCCTGTGTCTATGATATTTGCACAGCAATCTAAGTATTAAACTAAAATTAAACAGAGTTCTATATTTTTTCTGCTCATTCTGTAGGTTTTTATGAACAATCACGATTCTAAATATAAATTTTCTTCAGGTAACATGGATCATAATTTACTCAGGACTGCACCATCAATGACACAGATTTTCGGAAGAAGTGCTGATGTGACTGAGGACATTGAAAAAGTTATTGCTGTGCTTTTGTTGACAAGCAGGCAAAGGATGGTTATTACGTTGTAATTTATTTGACTCTCCGCTTCAACAAGATCCCTCAAAAGTAACCCGTACATTTCCATCGATGTAATTATGCTGAAAAAGAGCGTATATGTATTCTGAGTGTAGAGACATTCGTCTTTGTGTTATTGTTTTTCATATCATCTAATTATAATCCAAATGCGTAATCAAAGAAAACTGGAAAATTGTTTGTAATAAAGGGGCAGTTGGGCTGAGCACTGATTAAATGGTAATAATTATTCAATCAAAATTTCCAAATATTTAAAAAAAAAAAAAAAAATGAATAATATCTCTAAAAATTGCTATAATTTTATTGTAAATAAATAATGAAATCAGGTAAAAAAAATTGAGCCGAATGAAAAGTATAAATCAATAATTTATAATTATTTCTTTTTAAATTTATTCAATAATAAACAATAAGACTTTTTTCCTAAGAAATTGACACTCGAGATGATCATGGATAAAATTGGATAAAATGAAGATCTCAAGCTTTTCCTGGTTGAGAATTTTTTTATTAAAATCAACTGGCTCTACCAAAAGTTTAGGTTGGTACTTGAATTTTTTAGTTTTAAGATTTTTTATAGTAAGATGGAAGAATGTTTTTGCTTTCTTTTTCAATTTTGCTGCATTTTTGTATTTTTCTTGCTCCTGAAGTAGGGTCGCAGATGGTGACCGAAACTGGTACAGCCGTTTTTTTTTTATTAAAAACAAATTTTTGCAACGAGGAAAAAATATCTCTCTATTTCCATCAATGATCTACTAACTATTTATTTTGCTAATTGATTAATACAACATTTGATCACATTAATTACAAACAATAATAAAATATTGATGATTAATTATACAGCTGGTGCACTTTCACTTTTTTACTGATTCTTCTTGCGCTCATTTCCTTTCGGATCATTGATTACAGTTTTCTGTGCAGTCTGGGCGTCGAGAGGGTATTCGGACAAATCAACGTGCTTGATAAGGAAGTAAAGTTCGGCAACCGCAATCACCAAGGCACAGAGTGTTCCACACAAAAACCTGAAGCCCATTTCCATCTCGCCGATGATCAGTTCCAGGCCAATGAAGCCGAAAGCAAAACCAGCGGCCACAGACAAAATAAGCTGGCCGACGCCTATGAGCTGCCGGTTCATCTCCTTCAGCTGCGAGCCGATCGACTCCTCCTGGAATTTGAATCTCGTCGCGTCCACGGATTTGGTCATGGCCTTGTACTGTCGGTCTTCCTGTTGTGCCTTGAGCCGTCGACACCTGGCCTCCAGCACTGGATCGCGCGGCACCTGCTCCAAAGTTGGAAGGACGATTTCCAGTCCTAGTTTCCTGATGGAGACGCCCTTGAGTTGGCTTCGTTTGAGGACCCAAGCAAATTCACCGGAGGAAAAATCCTCCACCTCTCCCTTTCCTAATTTTATTATGCCTTTTGGAATGTCGTCCTTGGCAGGATCTTCTTCAATTTCAGTCTTGATGAATTGAAGCAGGTCGGCACTGGGCTTCAGCAGCAATGTGTACTCGCTGGAACTCATTTTGTCCACGGTTGGATTTTTCCAGAATTGTTTGCTGAATTTATTTTCAAACGCTGCAACAAAATATTTGCGTTAATTCACATTTAAATCAATTTTTATCAGTTGATGAAACTTCAAAATCAAATACAAAATCTTACCTTATTTTTACTGTCATGTTCTAATTTTTTAAGGCAATATAACGAAAATGACCACAAATGACTGACACACGATTTTATGTAATTTCAAAGCCAGACGAACCTTGTGATGGAAATAATTAAAGGAGTTCAACTTTGTTTAGAAAATTAAAGGCAAAATTTAAAACGATTTTGAGCAGCTGGTTTTGTTCAGTTTATTTTGTTCTGGGGCCAATGGGGGCGGGGCACTTTTCCAAATTTCAATTCCATTACTTCAAATACCTCAACGCCATCTTCTGGTGCTTTTATTAACTTGATGTGCTTAACAAACAAACAAGAAAGTCCTGCATCCTGCATGTTTTATTTCAATTTTGGTTCTTCACACTTTTTTAAGTCACACTTCTGAGATTTTAAACTTAAAACCTCGCCGTTCGCCGAGATCTTGAGTTGTTATTCGATAAGGGATTCAGGTTCTGCAATGCAAAAAGCAGCAGCTGCAGTTCCGCTAGAGAATTTTGTCAATTAACACCATAATTAGATTAACTGGTAAAAATTTGCATTCACCTTTAATTTGTTTATTCTTTTTATTTTCCAATGCAGTTTCTATGTTTCGTGCATAATATATATTGATTTAAATTTTGATCAATTTTGATTAATTCGGAATTATTTATAAAGTTTCCTCGTAAAGAAGAGAGCTTTACTTTTTTATAATAATATATTTATTTACCCATCATGCACTGTGGAATTTTTGATCAATTTTATAGCATTGATTACTTTTTCAGGAGGCAGCTCAAATATTTGACCGTCAAAATGAACAACCGGCTGATGGATGTGATCAAAGAGCACGCTCCTGATTCGTGGGACTTTTTGTCCAAAGCCGTCTCCAGTGGTCTTAACTACAATATTCTTGAAGTGAACACTAACAGCAGAGAATTCCTGCATGTCATCGCCGATCTCAGAAAGCACGATGAAATATTCGAAGTAATTGACTGAGTTTAGACAACAATTTAGTCACCATCTTTTTAAAAAAAAATTCACCATTTATTTTAAAACAAATTAAAATTTTTATAGACTAAAACAGACTAAAATGCCCATTTGCTGGTGCAACAACTTGCAGTTTGAATTGAAGATTCAGAAAAAATCAATTGTCAATAATAATAAAAGTATTTTTTTTTTCAGGTGAAGTGGGTGCGGCGGATCCAAAATCTGAGCATGTACGGTCGGTACGCCCTGCGCCACCAGCAGCTGATGGTTCGCAACCGCTTCAATCCAGCAAACGCAAAGGAAGAGATTCGCTACGCCTGCATTCACGAATCCAAAATCGACAGTCTGGCTCAACGAAACTTGGACGCTCGGTACCTGGCGGTTGAAAACTTTGAAAACCGCTTCAACAAGAGTGAACTGTTCACAAACGTCCTTTCTGCGATCAGAGAGATGACGAGCAATGACTCAAACTGGGTCCTGGTAATGGCCAGGGTCACCACTGAAGGAGGTAAGATTGTGTCTGATTCCGAAATATATCCCGAGTACGTGCTGAAGCTGAAAATGAAGGATGTTTCGTTGCTCTGGGGTTGATCTACGTGGCCAAAGCAGTGCCTGAAGTATTTTGTAAATGTCACTAAATCGCCTTTAAAATTTAACGGAGTAGACGCGCTGAACATCTCTCCATTCTCCTAATGCTTAAAATAAATTGAAATTATCAAGTTGAAATCTGTAGATAAGATTGCATTACCTGAAGATAATTTTGATTTAAATATTCCATTCCATTTATTTTATATTCCTTTATTATCAACTTATGTCCTAATGCAATTTTCATCATTCTCGTTGATTCTCATATAAGAATTGTATTAATTTGAGTCTGTAACATCAAGATCGTAACTTGAATGTGAAAGTTTTTGTGATTTTGAAATACTTCAATGGTATGTAAGAAAAAAAAGATGATTTAATTTAGCAACTTTTTACCGACAACTATTATTTGTATAATTTAAATGTCAAATTTATTAATGCCAATTTCGCTGTAAGAGTGACTTTGATAATAATTTCATCATAAATGTCAATCTGATTCTCCGTGACATCAGAAATATAAGTACTTAATTTTTGTAGCTGTAATGAAGTTGATCCATGATGAGTATACAATTCAAATTTAAAATAAGAATGAAATATATGGATTTTTATTAACTAGCAGTACAAAACACAAAAGTGCTGATTTACTGTCGTTAAAGACGAGTATGAATAATATAAAGATAGTTACCGAAAGAGGAATGGACTTCATAATTATCAATTATGTTTTAAACTATCATTTGATTCCTACAGTGAATGTGAGACATCGTTTGTAATTTTTAATAATAAAAACTGCTAACTTGCGGAAAAAACCAATTCTGAAACTTTCATTTTACAATTTACTGGAGTCATGAATTTGGGCTTTAATAATAACTCAAGTAACAAACTATTGAAAAGCAATATTATATAAATATATAATTGTTCCATTTAGCAGACCAACTTGCCAAAAATGCTATAACAATCATAAAAAAATATTACATATGAAGAAAATAATTTTTTAATTAAATAATCAAACATTAAATAGTTTATAAGTCATAAATATTTTTCAATTTAAACAAATTTATAAAATTTGTTACTTATAAATTGTTTGTTTTTTAAATAAGTTTTTATTTTAATACATAAGTGATAAAAGTAAAAAATAATTATTTTAATTTATTTTATGAAATGATTAATTCATGTAAGAAATGATGACATCATTATTATTTTTATTTTTTAATATTAAAAAACCATATCAAGCCAAATTGCAGTGAGGAATTTTTTATTATCAAATCACAATGCAAAGTACTTCTCATTGAAGGCAGCTGGCAATTATTTAAATTGAAACCGATAAAATCACTAACCTAAAGAGCATTGGATTTAATCCAAGTTATCTGACAGCCTCAGTTGGTTCAAAATGTTTTTAATAAGAAATAATAAAAACTTATAATCACGAATTTCACATAATCTAATCTCAAAATTTACGTCAGATCCGAGTTGCTTTTTTTTCAGTGAATGAAACAAGTGTTTTTTTTTTTTTTTAACTAAATCACAGGTTAAACAGTTTATTCATACAAACCAAAAGTGAATGTAATACACAGGGTCCTGAAATTCTGTTGAACAAAAGATAGCATGGGTGCCTGTTTGACGTGTCTCAGAGCTCCGAGGCAGAAAACGAAAATGAATCTCAATGATATTTTCAACTCCCGGCAATATATATATTTTCTGAAACGGATTTGCAGGTTGCAATCCGAAAGTTTTGTTGAATTTTTCTTTTATGGAACACCAAATAATGTACACGTTTTCACTGGTGGGTCGCTACACAAACACCTATTATTGAAATTTCCACTTAGTTTTCGGCATGCAACAGTGATTATTACTCTGAAAATGGAAAACCGGCATGTAGATTAACATCTAATATACGCTTTTATCAACGAAAAAATAATCATGTATATATTTATTTTTAATAATACGCTTCGATACATTTACAAGAGGCACTAATGTTTGTTACACATTGATGCTTTTCCTAGTCCTTTCCTCACGTGTACGTTAAAATCAATTAACTCTCGCTTACGTCTATAATTATATGTTTAACGGATTTTCATTGTTTGCCAAAAATTTCGTGGCTTAAGAGAGTTGCGATTGGTTTTCAGTGCATATTAATGTTTTCAAATAATTAGTTTCGTTCTAACATCAATGAACAGTTACGTATGAAAGTAAATTTTCTATAACTTTTGTTAATAATTTCAGCTAGTTTTTTTTTCATCTAAATATTATGAAATTTTTCTTTCAATTAAAAAAAAAATTTATAATTGATGTGGCTTTGGATTTTACTAAAAATTATAGTTTTTTTCAACATCTCTCGCTTTTTAATGATTATATTATAGGAGTAAAGTTACTCCTTTTGCTACGCGGCCCAAGAGTTGGTGGCTCTTAAAATAATTGGCCTTTTGTCTAAACCGTTGGACAAAAAGCCTCGAGTGCAGAAGAAGGTTTTTGGCTTCTTGGCCTTTGGACAAAAGGCCAAGTGACCAAAGCGCCTCTTGTCCACTGAAGGCTTTTCATCAACGACCAACAACACACACACATATATCAGTGCAATACATGAATATGCTTTTAGAATGGTGAGATGCAATATTACAATTGTTGTAAGTTTTTACGCACGTACAGACTTCGATAGATGATAATATTAAACGTTCGTCAACTGCAACAAGTATAATTTGAATTATTTTTAACCGCGCTTGTCGCAATCAAAAACCGTATTTTACTGTTTTAATTATACTTTCTCTAGCTTCTGTACATATTACACGTGCTGACGATTCTGCATCTCTTCACTTGATTTATTTGGCCCCCTATATTTTTATGTATTTTTAAAACGACTGCTTTTTGCCATTAAAAGCTGAAGAAAAACATCCACGTTTTTCTTATTAAAAATTCAACCGAACGAAATCCAAACAGAAATTGTCGGTTTTTGCTAATGCATATATTTACTGCCCAATTGATTCAATTTTTTTAACAATTTAACTATTTCTGCACTCGATAATTTTAAACAACTCATTAGTGACTATCACAGATTTTGAGACATTTAAACTGTGTTTCCAAATTTTTAATCGCTCTGCTGAGAAACACAGACAGATTTTTACTATTTATAAACTTTCCGAAAAGATTACTTTTTCTCACCCGCGAATTATTTATTTTTTATTTTTACTCACACACACACAAATGACGTATCAACCGCGTGTGTCGTGCCATCATCATCATCATCATCGACTTGTTCAAAAAATAAATATGTCAAATTCAACCGTCACAAACTTGAAATATTTCTCTTTACTTTTGTTTTATTTTTGTGTTTGGCGTGTTGTGTTGTACTTACTGTGCCTTTTTACTTTGTTGAAACTAGCAAGATAATATTGTAATATAATTATATTTAGTCTTTGAGAATGGAAGAGAGAAAGAAATCCCCCCTTTTTCCGTTGCTTTTCCAATTTGTCGAAACTTGCCCGGGAGCTCTGAGAAAAATCAAACCGACACGGGGGGAGACGCACAAATCAAACAGGGAGGCTATAACACCTTTTTGTATGCATAGTACAGCTCGGTAATAATCCACGACACATTTATATCTAAAACAATCACTGCTTTCATCTTATACTCGTGTTATGCTCTAGAACAGAAAAACGTACGCTGGTTCTGGTATATTTTCCGCCGACACCATACTTACGCTCTTGAAACCAGTGTGGTCGATTCGCTTTCGTTTTGTTCAGTGAAACGCAAAAAATGGAAATTGATCGCGTTCGTGACATGTCGTGTGATATATCATACAGTATGACGCTTCATAGCAGTTTGACGGCAATTATATAATATAGTAGTCCTTGCAACCTGCACAACGTTACAAACTAATATAAATCAGTAATTTTTTATATATTATCTTTTTCAAACAGAGAGAGATTTGGTTTTTATACACACTAGAAACTTTCTATTAAAATATAATCATGTGTTTTTCTGGAATCTTAATTACACCTTTCGTACTTACCGCTAACAGTAAATAATTAATTTTGCCCAATACGTCTCGTTTTTCTCTTTATCAAATTTTGTATGCTCTCTGAATAGGTCTCTCGTTGCTTTGACTGATTTTTTTTTATTTTACAATTTATCAACCTTTACATAATTTGGCTCTCTATATTTTACAATAGCCCCCTGCTTTTGAATATATTTAATTTAGTGAAAGACGCGAAGAATTCTTGCAGAAAAGTCGAACAACTCGTAGCCAATCGGAACTTTGAAAACAGGGGTATGCATTATATAATTTAGAAACTTCTACTTTTTACACTTTTCAGAGCAAGGAATGCGTGTTTGTTTTCATCTCAAATCATTCAAAACACACCCAATCTGCCTCGCTCTTCCAATTAAATTGCTACAGCATAGAGGTTCCAATCGGCGTGCTGCGTTTTCGCCGAGAATCGCCCGTTCCAAAAAGCCGTTCTGTTCCAGATACATGAGAAGGCGTAACTGAAAAGTTGAACTCAACTCGGAACGATTCCCGCGAGCAGCGCACTTACAATGTCTTAGTACATTTACTCGCAAGGTGCAAAAAGTCTCTTCATTCGAACCGGCGCCGTTTGTTTTTTTTCAAAAAATTCCAATACCAAATAATTTTGATTCGTGAGAGGCGCCGTCGACGAAAGCATTTTTGACACCCTGCTGGATAAAAAGCGTCAATTCTTGCGTGTGTGTTCTGTTTAAAATATATTTTTATGAATTACTTTGTCAATATATTTGTCCTCAATACAACAGATTTTCCAATGATATACAAGTGTGTATGTGTTTTTATTTTTTTGTTCAATGTGTTGTTATTTTTTTAATAGTTTAATGTTTTTGCTAACAATTTTTACAGTGAGACAGAGCTGCATATCGTTTTGAAATCCCTTTCAGTATTCGGCAAGTTCCAAGTGTTTTGGGACAATTAATCGAAGGGGGACGACTGACTGAATGAATATATACGCTAATTTTTATACAATCAGAGTTCGTCTCAGCCTAGGCTAGGTTATGCTAATCAAGGAACACAGACATCGCTTTAGATTTTACGCACCAGTTAATCTATCTTTTCTATAGAGGCTTGTTTTTTTTTTAATTACTCTGCCGATAATTTCTTTTTTAACTCGTTCTATTGGTTCGCTCGAAATTTCGTAAACTTTCGGCGCTGATTTCAAAATTTCGTTGAAAAGACAAACTTTGTGGCACGCTTGTATCTTGCACAGTGGATGCTGGGGGAGGATTCTTGCTCTCTTCAACTACTCGGGTTTGAGCCTATGCCATTGTACGATGGTTTGTCGAGGTTTTGTTATCATGTCTTGCCAATGCTTTGTTTCTGATGCACCTGAACCATTTTTACCTGAAAAAAAATAATGAGTAAATTTATTAAATTTTTGTTTTCATTGTAAAAATTTGCGGAAAGTTACCAGCCAGCAAAATTCTTCCAATGAGCTCATTTCGTCCAATGTTGTCGAAATCCATGACCATTACGTCTAAGGAGCATTCTCTAATCTTTTCCCATGGCACGTTGAAACTGAAGGTGTCGTTGAAAACTGGGTTCAGGGTACACTTGAAGATGGCAGTTTTCCTCTTTTCGATTCTCTTGTCGCCGAACTGTAGCCACACTTTCACGTAAGGGTCTGTGGAAGAAATCGTCAAATTTTGTTTTCAAAATCAATTTTTGAGTTTTACCTGATTTGCCATTGATATCCTTCGCTTTGAGGTTGCGCGCTTTCAAAAGGGTTAACGTTAAAATGGAGTTGCTAGGATGATAACAGAGGGAGGTCAGCAGTTCACCACATTTGTCTTTGGCAGGCGGCTTCAGTGCTTTCCAAAACGAGGGCTTTTCCGAGAAATCAACCTAAAAGGCAGACAGATGCTGCGAGTTACTCAGATGCTCAGAAGCTAAAAGGGGAATTTATGGAGGTCTTTTGGTGATTCAATTTGCCAAATGAATGATTGGGAGAAATAAATATCCCTGCGTTGCTTGTAAAATCAAATGTTCATTTGATTCAGTAGAAAATTTGATGGTGAAAATATAAAAAAAAAATCCTGCAATTAGCTCGTGTCAAAGGAAATAGAGGCATATGATGATGCGATACCACGTCATGTGAAAGTTGATTGCAATCTGCTGACTTGAACCAGTTTACAGGAAACCTAATTACTTGAGTGCCCTTTGATCGGAACATCAGAATGCCATTTGAATGCAAATGATATCGAACTGACGCACATGTGTGGACCAAATCAAGCGCGTACGTCACATTAAACATTCATTATGCAAACCCGTCTGCATGTATTTGAGGCACCGCAGGAACAATGCGTGGCCGTCTGGTCAGCAATTCAATGTATAATTTAGATAGAAACAAAGGGCAGCCGGCCTGACGAGAGTGGATTTGTTTGCAGTCAAATCAATGCCGTTACGTACAGAGAGGCCAAAAGGGAATCTACGAAGGTTGAACAATCACAGAGAGTAATCGAGTATCTTTAAGCCACTGAATATACTGATAACAAAAGGCCAAAAGGGGCAAGTCGATTTGATTTTGATTAAATATAATAAAAATTAAAAAAGTCGGTTTTAAAATACCGATTCTAAAAATTTGTGGTAAGCAATAATTTTGATGGAAAAGTATCTGAAATAAAATAAATTGTCTATGTTTTTAAGAGAATTGTTTAAATTGATTAAACACTTCCCTAAATGAACTTACTAATTATTTAATAATATAATTAAAATGGCTAATTTTTAATAAGCATAAATTGAAGTAAACATCAGAGCGGATTTTTAATTGGTTATGCAATTTGCCAGACATTCTTGTTGAGCAGGTTGCCTACCGGCACTTTCGAAGGAAACGAGCTCTGGTTCTCCTTTTTGCAATATATTATAATTCTACATCGCATCGCATCATTTTATTTCAGTAATATTTCAGCTTTTTAGTGCCTCGGCCAATTCCTGCGAGCGCTCTTTACGTCGCTGCGAAATGGAAGAGCATCCCTTGGCTGCGTCCGCCGCTCTCTGCTTTTTGCCTCTTAGCGCGCACTGCATAATAAAAGAGAATATGGAATTTGGTCGGCGCTCCGTGCTCGGCGCTCTCTCCGGCTGCAGGATTCAATTTATTTCGCGAACACGACGTTATTATAAGGGACATACGGGATGAGATGCAAACACGTTTGAGGGCTACGGCTACTTACTTGGCATAAAGGTAAGAAAACCTCTCCTATCGAGTCGTCCCGTGAGAAGCGATCGTAGTCGAATACGTGTAAGTGCAATACTCTGCTCTGCAGCTTTTGTATTGGAAATCCTGAAAGAAGAATAGAGATTTTCAATAACGAAAAGTAATTTTTTGCAAACATGATATTTCAATGACTACACAAAAGAAGGAAAGAGAAAAGATTATTGAAGAATTCAAGTTTTTTTCTAAGAAATATACATTTAAGATTTTCCCCTCAGTTCAAAATATGCATTTAATAAAAACGAAACTGGAAATAATAATAATCAAAATGATTTTGGAAATGAAGCGATCGGGCTTTTCCTCGTTGCAGAAAAAATTGTTTTTATTCAAAAACAAATGGCTCTACCAGTTTCGGTCACGGTCTGCGACCCTATTTCATGAGCAAGAAAAAATACAAAAAATCAGCAAATTGAAAAAACACCACAATGGTCATTCCTTATTTTAAAGGAAAATCAGAGAAAATCAGGGCCATCAGCCAAGAAGTTGCCAGAGTGCGAGTTGCTTTCTCAAACTCTTCAAATCTGCGAAAATGTTTAATGCATGTAAAACCCAAATGTGAACCTGCTCTGCGTAATTGTGTATACCGCGTGCCATGCGCCGATTGCTCTTCAGTTTACATTGGGGAGACAAAAAGACACGTTTATTTCCGATTTGACGAGCATAAAAGGGCAATTTCAAAAACTTTTGATCCGGCCACAATTGGGACGGACAGCAATGGTTTTCAAATAGCTCAACACGCGACTGAATTTGGCCATTCTTTTGCCTGGTCAGTTGCAACGGTTATTAAATTCGAACAAAATCAATAAAAAAAAAAGTGCTGGAAGCAATGGCAATGGCATGCGGTAAAAATGTAATAAGCCAACCGAGCCACCAATTCGATCAAAGGTGGATGTCCTTTTTGAGAGAGGAAGCAAACAGCTTTTTCTCGAAAACGCATAATGTGCCCGACGTCATTCGGCGCCCCCGTGGTCGGCCGCGCCGCGCGCTAATCACCCAATAAAGATCACCTCCCCCAATCAATCTGTCTTTAGCTAGCTCATTCTTGTATTAGTCAGCGAGCAGCGCGTTTGCTCATGAAATAGGTTGGTACCTGAATTTGTTAGTTTTTAAGAATTTAATTTTTTATTTAAAATGTGGTGTTTTTTCAATTTGCTGATTTTTTGTATTTTTTCTTGCTCATGAAATAGGGTCGCAGACCGTGACCGAAACTGGTAGAGCCATTTGTTTTTGAATAAAAACAATTTTTTCTGCAACGAGGAAAAGCCCGATCGCTTCATTTCCATGATCATCTCCTCGAGTGTCAACTTCTTCAAACAAAATGATTTTTCTTTAAAATTCCAATTCCCATTATAAATCAATATAATTTTTTTTACCGTTACATTCTTATCTAATTTAGGCCAATACCAGACTAATCAAGACTCCAGAAAGTTATGTTAGCGAGGTCACTTCTGGAGGAGCAGACCCTTCTAATTCCCCAAAAAGCAATTGCAATCAGGCCTGCGAGGGCAAAATTTAATTAAAATGCAGTAAAAGCAATCCCCTCAAAAGCCCGGCTGCTCCAGAAAGGCCGCAATTGTCACCAGCATGCACGGTGGATCCTCTTTGCGACGGTTTAGGTCTCGGTCAAGAAGAGTGGCAAAGGGCAATCACGTACTCGCCTCTGGTCGGTCCTTGCCCGTGTTAATGCCGCTAATTAATGAGCCTCCAATTTGCGAGCCAAGACAAATAGTAAGTTGACGAAAGAGCGAGCAACGATGCAGTTATTATTTTACAACCCCGAGAAACGAGGTTAATGCTTTTCGCGTCTCGCTTATTAGTCGTAATCAGCTCGAAAACGCGCACCCACCGCGTCATCTCCCCACATAGCCCATTAATTATCGTGGAAGGCCAGGAATTATGTTGCACACATGACTTGAAAATTGCAACATCACGCTGCTGGCGCTCGTTAAACGACTCGCGGAGCCCGGATAATTAGCGCAGTTCAAAAATATTGCCTCACTCTCAGACAAATAAAGTCGTTCCGAGAGTCGTTTTGCTGTGAAATGGAAAGTAAAAAGGCGTGGGATTAGTTCCAGCGTGCGGCGCACTAACGATGCAGTTTCTGCGGTGCCGGTTGCTGGTGGAAAATTGAAATTACTTTAGAAACAATCAAAACGAAGTTAAAATATTACTTTATTAAGTCAGATTAACTACCAAACTAAAAGAATGGGAGAAAAAGAAATTTGCAGTTTTTAACAATGGAATATTTTAAATGATGGAAAAGTGCAGGTTCCAAAAGGACCAATTTTTGTTGAATTTATGTGTCAAAGATATTTATTTGTTTGAAGAAGTTGACACTCGAGGAGATGATCACAGAAATGAAGAGATCCGGCTTTTCCTCTTTTTTTTTTTTTTTATTCAAAAATAGGTAATCATGAAATGGGTTGGTACTTGAATTTGTTAGTTTAAAGATTAGAATTTTTTTATGTTAAAATGTGGTGTTTTTCAATTTTGCTGATTTTTTGTATTTTTCTTGCTCATGAAATAGGGTCGCAGACCGTAACCGAAACTGGTAGAGCCATTTGTTTTTGAAATTTTCTGCAACGAGGAAAAGCCCGATCGCTTCATTTCCAAAGATATTTATGATCAGGACGTGTAAAGAAAATTTTATGAATGCCAAATCCAAGTCTCAATATTGTATTTTTTTAAGATCCACAAAAAATAACGCTTCAATTATTTAAACAAATAATTTTCTAATTTTTTTATATTTTGCATTAATTTGGAATTCGGAATGGCCAAGCCAACCAAAAGCCGCAAACCAATAATTTTGTCAATTATTTTTTATTAATCAATAAATTTAATTTAAAATAATTCTATAATATAATCATTTATTTTCCTGGATCTTCTGCGGTCTGCGGTAAATATTCTGCTTTTGCACGGTTGATAAAATTCCCTTTCTCCCTTCCCGGGAAATCATTGTGGAGCTTTTGGGCGAGCAAAAGAGCCTCTATTGGCCTGGGGCCAGTGATTAATTCCACCATGCACCGCGCTGTCGGATTGAATTTTTCATGTCGCTGCCGCTGTGCTGCAGGGGCCAATAAATATTGACACTCGAAACACCGCGCACATTTTCCGACAGTATTGACCGTGCGGCATGGCATGGAAACGCCATAAAAGCCAAAATTTTGCTAATGCACGAGAACGAATTTCAAATGCTGTGTGTGTGTTTTTTTTTAATCCGTCGACACGCGAATTCCATTTCACTCGGGCAAATTATTTCAGCAAAGTCAATGTTAAATAAAGCGGCACCCTTGGCAAAACTGACGAGAGTGGAATTTAATTTCCCGGGTGAAAGTTGGCTGACTTGTTGAAAAAGGCCTGAAATTGTCAAATTAAGAGATGTTGGGAAAAGTCGCTTTTGAGAGGGGGAAAAAAATACAGCCTGCGTGATCCGGGGAAAGAAAAATACGCTTGAATTGCAAAATTTTTGTTGAAAAAATAAAGACGAGAAGAAAAGCCCAATGGGAAAGATGAACAAAATGTATATAAAATTGTATTTCCTTGATTCCATGAAGGTCAATTAAAATTAAGGCCTGAATTGTCTGTATAAATCGTGTTATGAATAAATTATTGATTAAGGAAACGGACCAATAAAAAAAATGTCTAAGCTTTTCCTTAAAAATTTCCATTATTGATAAGTAATTAAAATTAATTATTCAATTTAAACGATACAATCTGCTATAATTTTACTCAGTTTAATTAAATTAAAATGGCTCGAATGAAAAAAAGCGAGAGTTACAGGAAAAGAAAATCTTCAAGGAGAGTCGTACATTTTTCAGAAGCTGCAAATCTAATGAGGAATGAGAAAAGGAAAAACGTTCTTACCTTCAAAGTAAAAAGTTTCGTTCCATCTCGGGTTGAGAGTTCGTCGTTTGATCTTGGTCTCGAGGCGATGTTTTTTGTCAGGCAGCAAGGTGACACGTACATAAGGGTCAGAGGTCCCGGACAAATCTTTGGCTGGCAACTCTTTTCCCTGCAACAACAATCGCGACGTCAAATTGATTCTGTCAGCAGAGAGACAAAAAAAAAGACAAGCAATCGACCTGTGGCAGGTAAAAACGATTGTTTTTCCAGCAATTTATATATTTGAAAGTTTATTCTTGGGAATGTTAAATCAAAGTGGCTGTCAGTTCTGAAAAAGACTAAAAAAAATTGGTATTTTCTTTTATTTCAAATTAAACGAAAGAATGGGGACGACTCATTTATTTCTGGCAAATATGCAATTAACTTTGATGAAGTGAACTTCCATAGCTGGAAGCCTGAGAGGAGCTTACTTTGATTGAGTTTTTTTCCATAGACTGAGTATTGGTCAAAATCTCAAAATGGAACAATGTATGAAAAAAAAAAAATGGACGTGATAAACTAAAATAATGTAAAAAGCAGTTGCGTAAATTTTACTTTTATCAATTATTACAATCAAGAGACAGAATCGGATTGGAAAACAAAAAAATGTTTGAGATATACATATCTGTAATATCTTTTCCTCAATAATCATGAGCAGCTAATTGATTATATTATAAAAAATCAAATTATTGGTGTTATCATTATTCATAAAAAATGATGATTATTTATATTAAAACTTAACAATATCAAAAATATATTTAAATAAATTAATATTCAGATAAATTTTATAAAATGATGATTAAATATATCAAAACTTTTAAATATTGAAAATAAACTTAAAAAAACAGACTTTTTTATTACAATCTAAAATAAAATAAATTCACAATTTTAACAAATCTTCAACTTGTTGTTAGTAGTGAGTGTGTTTTCTGTTCTAATTAGTGTCTTTGTGTTGGAATGTGTACATAAATCAATTTAGAGGGTTTAAATTTTAAGAGGTTAGTTGGTTTTACTAACAATGAAACTTAGCTTTCAGCAGTAAAACCACGTTAAAACTTCTATTTTCTTCAACTAATTGCTCTTTACAAAATACAAATAACAAATTTTCTTTTGTATTTGAACTTTATTATATTTATCAGTAAGTTTATATTCCAAACGTTTACAATTTACAAATAAGAGAGCCCAAATTTCAACAAGAGACGTCGAAAACTGGTCCAGCAAGCAAGATTAAAGCGATTTGCATATTGATTGAGGACAGGCACCTTGGCGCGTTTGTGCTGTGAAACCAACGGTAGAGTGTACCTGCATCTCATCTTACTAGGCCCGAAGTCACTTTCGCCGAAATCAGCGATTTGCATTCGCAAAGGACCCCTGCTGGCTGCGATGGGCGACCCAATCAATATTTAATTAAAAATAACTTTAATTTCCTGCCCGTTGGCTGCGTGCGTGCGGCGGTGAACAGTGTGCAAATTGAGAACAAGTTGACGTCTATTTTAAGGAAGAGGAAGGTGGGCGACGAGGCGAGCATCATCGTCAACTGGTTGTTTCATGAGGAAGGTAGGTGTGTGTTTTGTGTGCGGGGGTTGTTTAATTAGAGGCGCCCCCGCACGCGGATACGTGACAATTTGCGCACCCTCTTGTTTGCAGAAGTTGCGAGCCGGGAAAACAAAGGTGACGCGGTGGCTGGGCTTGCTGTTTATTTTTTTTCGCCAAGCACCATCTCATCATTCTCAAAAGTGCAGAGGCGCCGTAATTATTTTGCTTCTTCTCTGTGCAAATTTGAGGAAATGCCTATTTTTAACCGCACTTTGGAAGAACAATTGATAACAATATTATTTAAATGAATGCTTTTCCTCGTTGCAGAAAAAATGGCTCTTGAATAAAAACAATTTTTCTGCAACGAGGAAAAGCCCAATCTCTTCATATCCATGATCATCTCCTCGATCTTCTTCAAACAAATATTATTTAAGATTAATTAATTGCCTAATTATGCAACAGAGATGTTCAAAGGGGTAAAAAATTAAGTAATTAATTTTAAAATTTGAATTTCCCTCTAATCTGAGTTTCAAAGTAAGATTAACTTAACCCTTCATGTACTAGAAATAAATTTAAAAAAAAAATGTCAATTTCTCTGTCAAAAAATGGTAAAAGATTTTTTAATCAAATTATATCTTGCACTTTTTAAATTTAACTGATATAAAAATTAAGATTTCACTTTTTCACTTAACATTAAAAAGAATCGAATTTGATAATAATATTATTGAAGATTAATTAATTGCCTAATTATGCAACTGAGATGTTCAACGGGGTAAAAAAATTAAGTACAATTAATTTAAATTTGTTTGAAGAAGTTGACACTCGAGGAGATGATCATGGAAATGAAGCGATCGGGCTTTTCCTCGTTGCAGAAAATTGTTTTTATTCAAAAACAAAAAAGCTCTACCAGTTTCGGTCACGGTCAGCGACCCTATTTCCTGAGCAAGAAAAATACAACAAATCAGCAAAATTTAAAAAAAAAACACACATTTTAAAATCTTAAAACTAAAAAATTCAAGTACCTATTTCATGAGCATACGCGCTGCTCACTGAATAAAAACAATTTTCTGCAACAAGGAAAAGCCCGATCGCTTCATTTCCAATTAATTTGAAAATTTGAATTTCCCTCTAATCTGAAAATGAGTTTCAAAGTAAAATTAACTTAACCCTTCATGTACTGTCATGTACTAGAAATAAATAAAAATTTCAATTTCTCTGTCAAAAAAAGGTAAAAGATTTTTTAATCAAATTACATCCTACACTTTTTAAATTTATATGATGTAAAAATGAAGATTTCTCTTTTTCACTTAACATTAAAAATAACTGAAATTGTTAAAAGCATTTTTTTATAGCTTCATATAATTGCCCGACCTTTTAGTAAAATAGGCTGGAAAAAGAGTGAATTGCGCTGTAAAAAGTTTAAAATATTTTCTCGTCGCTGTCGTTGTGTGTGACTCGGGGCTGGAATAATGTCACGGCCGTGGTGAAAGCGAAGTAACGTAGTTAAGCGTACAACGAGACAATGCGGAGACTTGTTTGTGCAGCGCGGCAAATAATGAGCAAAGCAGAGTTGGCGGAATGTGCAGCGCAGGACGAACGATGGAACCGCCTCCGGGCCTCTTGTTTCAGCTCGCAACTTTTCGCAAAAATAAATTCACGTGAAAATGAACCACCGACGGATATTCAACGGAATCAAAGGCAATTTAATTAATATTTATTATCAGAGTCGAAATTAAAAGAATCGAACGCCGAGAGGCAATTTCAAAATATTTGGTTGTGGCAAAAGCTTAATTGCGCCTCTTTTGTTTTGCTTTTTCCTTGCCACTGAAATTAAACTCGTTCAACCTTAAATTTGTGTGTTCCAGAAGCGCAAATATGAACCGATAAAAAGCAGACCGCAGCTGCGGCGTGTGTTTGGCAAATTACACACGCACTTCTCGGCCGCTTCCGAGACCGGGCGGCATTTTCATGCAAATTTCGGCGAGTTGGCAAAATCAGCCCAGCAACCAGAGCAGAACAACACGCGGGCAAACACACAACACAACCTACTCCATTATAATAGGGCGTGTACGACCTTTCATTGTGTGTTTAATTACTTTCCCTCTGCCTTTGTTTAATTTCAGTATTACGGCTCGATGAAATCAAAGCTAAAAACACACAATAGTCATGATAGCGTTTTATTAGCAGATTCAATTTCTTAGTCTTCACCGGTTTATGTAATTCATATTTTGGGAACGGTAGTGAACACAAAAAACTTAAATTGTAAAATATATGAAATAATAAAAAAATTATATAAACAAAATACTACTTTTAAGAGAATAAAAATATAAAATTAATAACATTAAAATATTAAAAGAATAATAAAAAAATAAAAAACAGAAATAATAGTAAATAATAAAACAAAATAAGCTGGAATAGTAAAAAAATTACATTTAATTTTATAACAAATGTTTAAGAATTAAAAAAAGACAAAACCTTCCATACGGCTCGAGAAGGATGCGTGTGCAAATTATGCGACAAAATCTGCGACCAATACCACCTCGAGAAATGTGAAAACCGGGTGCTTTCCATCAACAACTACGCCCGTATGGGAAAAGACAAAACATGACCTTATAATATGTTATTTAAATTTATAAATTGTTAAAAAATATTAATTAAAAATAATTTTAATTTTTTTAATTAATTAAAATTTTAATTTTTATCAAATTTCGCTTGTATAAATTTAAATATTGAAGAATTGTACTCTGATGAGGTATTTTCAATAAACTATATAAAAAGTTTTATTATTCCAATATTTTAATTTATTTGAAAACATTTAATAATTATTCTCCCTTCAAACCCCGTGAAATATTTAAAACTTGCAAAGACTTGTTTCTCTTTTATTTTCTCTTTGAGAAACTTCATAGCAGAGAAGATTAATTAAGAAGCAGTGTAGATCAATCAACGAACGATTAGCCGATTAGCAAGGGAAATGCAGCTCTGAAAAGTTTGGAGCTCACCGAGACCGTTTTGTCTTTCGCCAGCAGGATTGATTAAAAAAGCCGTTAGCGGAGCTGCAATAATTTATAAGCCCCCTCGCTACACGTCGCCCAAATCTGTGCCATTGTAATTAAAACTTGGAGGAAACACGCGCGGCCGGGTAATTCATCTCGGGGCGTCACTCCTCGTAGCCGGAATTATTTTATTATTAAATAGTACCTTCCTCTCTGGTGCTCGTCGCGAAATTCAATCAAGTTAATGACTGCCGCGGATAATAATAATGCAATATAATAAAACCTCCTCATGAGACTATGAAACAGTTGAGATTGTCTTCGGCCGTAATTTACCACTTTGTTTGCCTTTGCGTTTTTTCTTTTCATTCAAGCGTCGCGCCGCTCGATGAGAGATTTGCACAACTTTTATAGCTGTTTGTGGAACTTGGAAATTTGGTTCGTTAAGTGGATTACGGGCGGAAAGTTATGGCAACGAAATTTCATTACCGCAGAGTGGCAGCCTCGGAATAAGAAGTCACGGGCGAAACTCTAAAATAACCAAATCAATTCGAATAATCAAATTAAGATGAAAAACGTCACCAGTGTGAGAGACGAAAAGGACTTATTTTGCATTTATATGAACGAGTTAAAATGGTAACCGCAGAAATTTAAATGAATTGTTAGTTAATTAGAGTAAAAATAATTATAAAATTAATAAAATTTCAATGAAAATTCAATTTCAATAATAATAGTAAAACTCATCTCTCATTACGTATTTAAAATAACTATCTGAAAATTCAAAAATTTATTTTATAGCACTAAAATTTAAGCCTTAAATCAAATCATGGATGTAATAAAAAAAAAACTCCAGTTAATGCATACATAAAAAGTTACGATGAAAAATTAGTTCTTATTAGGGTTGTGAAACTTAGACGATCGACTATTTTTTCTGGGCTTTGGTTTGGCCTGAATTCATCAAATGTGCACAAATCATGAAATTTCAAGACGATTGAAACCCACTTAAAATCGTCTAAAAGACCCAAAACCGTCTAAAAGCGTCTTAAAATCGACTAAAACAGTCTAAAAGTGTCTAAAACTCACCATTTCGTCTCCTGGGGCACAAAATATTCTAAAGAAAACAAAAGATTTTTGTTTACCGCGCAACCAATTGATTTTTTGCTGTTGAAGTGGCATCAATCTCTTGGGATGGGCAAAGCGACTAACCAATTTATTCTCCAAAATGCGACTTTTAGTGTTTCAAGCGCGTTTTCACATGTAAAAAGTCCAAATTGTAGGTTGAAATTCAATTTTGAAATCGAATATTTGATGGAAAACCGGCTATTAAGCGGAAAAGCGACAATTAATCAACTATTTGGCTGGAAAGTCGACTAAAAGCCGACTATTTCAATTAAAAAATTAACGAAAATAGTCGACTATTTTAAGCTTCAAACCCGACTTTTTTGCCCATCCGTTAAGTCATTTTCACAGCTTTTTACAATCCAAATTTTCAACCTTGAAAAAACAGTCTAAAACCGTATAAATTGGATAAAAACCGTCTAAAAACAGTCTTTTTCTATGAAAAAAGTGTCTAAAAAAAGTCGACTATTTTAGGCAAAAGAAGCGTCTAAGTTTCACGACCCTAGTTCTTATTCTTCCTCTTTACTTGGTCAGATTGTTTAGAGTAGCTTTGATCTCATGTGAACAATTTTGTGTCTATTAATGGTTCTAAAATTTGGCAAAGTTGTAGAAATTAATTATTTTTCTCAAATTTTTTTCGTTTGCTAGAAATTACCATGAAATTAATGCCCTCCTTGAAGATATCTGAACAATTATTACCTAAAACTTTGTAATTAAATCTAGTTTCAAGAAGCTTAATTAATTTGAATTTAGTGAGTTGGAGAATAACTTTTTCGCATTTTAACATTCCGCCAAGTGGAGCTCGCACGGTAATCAAAACCACTCCCGCAAAAATAAAGCCAGTGTAGCTCTTAAAAGATGTGTAACGAGATCATTGAGCTGAACGTTCAAGTGCCAAAACGTCCTCGTGCTCGCGCAAAGAGAGAATATAATATACACGGGAGGATTGCACAATGGCTGAGGCCACTTGGGTTTTGCCTGCCTGCGTACATATGTACGTGCGTGGGTGGTCGACTCGCTTTCATTGTTATGCACACGAGAGAGAGACAAAAGCATTTGACGTACCTGTATGATGCGGAGGATGAGTGTTGTGTTTTGGAAGTCGTACTCGAGGCTAAAATGTATCTGGCCGACGTTTTCCGAAGGCTCTGAGTTATCGATGTACATGTCGACGAGGGAGATGGAACGATTCTGGAGAAATGCCATCTGCCGGAAACAGCAAGGAAAAGTGCGTGCGTTAATAAACTGTGTGTAACACCTTTTCTCGCTTGCGATGCGTCCGAGTTTAGTTTTGAAAGGTCATTTTTACTTTTTTCATCCCTCTCTGCGGTCGGATTACTGTTTTTCCAACGGCTTGAGTGAGCGGATTTTGGCCGATTCCCGAGGCGCGCGTGAATTTTTCACGAGCAAAGCCACTCGTTCCGGCTATTCGAGTCCTCCACTGATGGGGAGGAGATGAACTTTCTCGGACGCAGAGCCAGCGAGATATGAGGGTTTGCATGACAATTTTTTAGTGATAGATAGGCCTGGGAAAAAACTTTCAATTTTTTTTAATTTTTTTAAAAGGATTAATTTAAATGAACTAGAAAAAAAATTAATAAATCAAACTAAACTTCCAAGCTTTCTGATGTTATGGTTTTATCCAAGTTCCATGAAAATGTTTTGATAGTTGTTTGAGCTCTCTGATTGGGCACAAATCTACCTAATCAGAATTACGATCAGATTGGAAACAATCATGAATTAAACGGCGAAAATTCGTGAAAGGTGCAATGCGTTCGCAAGGGTAATGCGATCTTCATTTTTTGAATAAAAAAACTGTGACACATACCACTTTTTTTAAGATTGTTTCTAATGTAAAATTTTACGTTATACACATTGGCTTTTCAGAATTTCAAACAAGTTTGTGCCAAGCTGTCAAATTTGAGGTCAAAGGACACGAGGTCACCAAAAGTGACCTTGACCTGTGACCTACAATTTTGCGTTTAGCAGCAAAGTTGTAGAGGGTGACAAGACAAATTCAGCAATACCCGGATTTTTGTTGTACAATCACGGAAAGCCGAGATACAGCCGTTTGAAAATTTCAAAAACTCAATTTTGAACGTCCCGTAAAACCTGTAAATTTTGAGATATTGGGGCAAAACTATATAGTTTTGGAAACCTCTTGAAATGGTCTTTCTGGTCCTTAAATTTTGTAAAGATCGCATGACCCTTGCCAACACATTGTACCTTTCACGAATTTTCGCCGTAAAATTTTATAAATTTATGTACCATAAACATCATTGAATTTCTAATTTACCATTTTGAGCCATTTAAACAAAATTTCACGAGGTGGCGAGGTAAGCCAACGACCATTATTACCTTTATTGGCTCTCATATATTTAAATATAAATATGAAACAAAAAAATAATTAAATTAAATGATTAATATTTAGAAATATTAAAATATTTATTAAAAACCTAAAAACGCAAGTAAGATAAAATAATTTAGAATTTAAAAAATAAAATTGATCTAACTTGCAAATTTAATTGATTTAATTGATCTTATACTTGTTTATTTTTTAAATCAATTTTATTTATTTATTATTTTTAATTCTTTTTTATCTTTTTTCAACGTTTTAAGTAATTTTCCCAAACCTTGCTATTAAAAGGGCAAGGGTGTCAATGTGCGTGATCGCATTGCAATGAGTAAAAACATAGCAAAATGCAGCGATATAATGAAATGGTTTGTTTTCCTGGTGGACGAACGTGCTGGTGTGAATTTGATTTAAATTATTATTTTGAATGCAAAAAGCAGAGCAGCGCTAAATGTTTACAGCATTGCTGGCAACACAACTACCGCATTTGTGTGTGTTTACAAGTGAGAAGGAGCAATTCAAAAAGCCAACTACGGATCCCTCGGAACAGCATAATTGCAGTTTAATTATGGTGCCGCGCCATAATCGACGCATGATTGACCAATCAAACGCCGATTATGCGCCACCCTCAACTTTTCAACTTCAAGCATTGGTATAAAATTTCCTACCATTAGCATAAATTTCCAAAACTCTCTAATAATTCGAATTCTATGACATGCGCATTAAAAAGTTGAAAAGTCCGAGGCGTTTATATAGTGTGTTCGTGCATCCAAGCTGAAAAGGTTTATTTTTATTTATAAATAGAAAATGTTCAGGCATTTTAAATTTCAATGATTTAATTTCGTTCAGTTCTGTGGCAGGCAAGACTGGAAGGTGTGTAGCTGAAAACTGTCAAATTAATCAAGTCACGTGCTTTTCCAGAGACAAAATAATTGATTAAGAAGCGATTTTGTATGTACAGCGGCGAGATCAATGCTGGAGGGAAAGTAGTTGGTGTCCTAATAAATTAATGTGACAAAATCATCCTAGAATTCGAAATGTGATGAGAAAAACGTGGTGAGGAGAATGAGAGTGAAGGGTGGGTCCGAATATCAGAGAAACGATTCTCGCGCAAAAATTCTCCAGGATCGTTTCTGCCTTTAAAATTCAACTAAAGAATCGTTCCTTGAGAATCCTTGCGCGAGAATCTTTTCTCGAGAAACGTTTCTCAAGAATCGTTTCTAGAAACGTTTCTCTGATATTCGGACCCACCCTGAGGCTTTTTACACAGCAGTGTTGTGTGTCAGTGAGTGGCACAGTTCCTGGGGTGGATCCAAAATTAAGAAGGACTAAAGTATACTTTCTGACCCAGAAAGAAGAGGAAAAAGAGAAACGAAATTCACGCCAAAAGCGGAACAGGAAAAAGATAATTGTGTGAGAAATTGTGAATTGAAATGTTGGGCGATGGATGATGAGAAAAAAATATGGAAACTGTGCAAATATAAGTGACAATCATTAAGTACATTTCTCTTTAATGTGAAAATAAAACAAATTTTGCGAAACATGTCAAAATCAGAGATTTTTTGAAGGGAGAAATATTTTTGCTAAAAAAACTGACTTTTTCACCAAAATTTTCAGCAGTAAAAATAAAATTATTGAATAATTTTCTTTGTCCAGAAGCAATAATTTGCTCAATTTGAGAAAGATAATTTAAGAAAAATTCTTCATTAATGAAAAGTAAATTTTGAAATATTTATAATTAATTAAGCTCTAGAACATTTCATATAGTTGAACATAGAAGAAGCAGAAATGAATCCCTCTGAATTTGAGGATTAATCATTAATAGCAAATGATTTATTGCTAAGTTTTCAATCAAGATTTTGTCATTACTCTCAAATTTTACATCATGGCTCTTCTTTTATATAATTTAAATCGAGATTTCTAGGAATTTTTACTTTCAGTGATTAAAGCTAAAATTTTCAAGTCGCAAAAGCAACAGGCTGAGGCCCCGAGCCCATTAGGAAAGTATATTAAACTGGCTGCGCGCCAAGTGGGGCTCATTTGTATGATTTGCTCGGGAAATCCTTTATCAGAAACAACACGGACTCTATTTTCCGCCAGCTATAAAATAATAATTTCTTTTCCTTCCCGCTCGGCGCGCATTTTAATCAATCTAGCGCGAGGATAAAATTAAATGAGCCGTCTGCAGCGATCATTTGCATCGTCGGAAACGGGATCAGGCCAATTGGACCCGTGCAATAAAAAAAGGCAGCTGATGTTACAAATTGTGTCAGCCGGCGCCCATGGTTCTATTTACGGCGGCCGAGAAGAAGAAAATGCCGAATTATCTTGATGCTCCCGCGGAGAGGAATTTATTGATCACGCGGTGCTCATCGTCGGGTGGAAAAAGAAGAAGATAGGGATGGGAAAAACGCAAGACGGAGCTAGGACGTGGCCTGATGGAAGGTGAGTGACGTCATGAGAGAGACGTTCCGAGGAAAACGACATTATTTACGAGGAAAAGGACAAGAAGGAACATGGCAGTGAAAAAGAAGATCCGAGTCTTGGAAAAAATCTTACAAGAAAAATGTTCCAAAATTTAATGATCGTTGTGAATTTTCATCCTTTTGTTTACGAAAAAATTGCAGCAAAAATTTAAACAGCGAAATGTTTCTTTTTTAATTTACAAAATAAAGATTTTAAGTCTTTGTGCATTTTATAATTTGATTTCCAGAAAGTTTGTCTAAAATTAAAAATGTCAAATGTCCTAAACGGGATGACGGATCAAGTCACCGCAGACACGACTTGCCGTTGAAACAATTTTCTTATGTACTTTGTTAAATTATTTATTACTAACATGACAATATGATGATTTATCATTCATAAGAGCTCGCAATCCAAAGGCCATAAGGTTATCTGAGAAGTACTCATTGTCAATACAGAAATTGCCTTACCATATTGGAAATATATATAATTAGTTAAAAACATTTTTAGTTAAATTATTTAAAAATCTAGATCACAAAAAACCAAGTAAAAAATTAATAAAAAACAAATAATAATAATACAAAATATATAATTTAAATTAGAAAATTTAATATTATAAATTCAAAACTAGTTTATAAGTTTTTAAATTTCTAATTTTGTGTTTTATTAATTTTGTTAAATTTTTTATTTTCATATATTTATTTATTAATCAAAGAAATCTTCCCAAACTTTACTGCTTATATTTTTTTTTATTAGCTCTTTAACTATCATTAGCTTGCGCAAATAAATATAGCAATGAATCTACAAAGAAACTGATAACTCTTCTTCCTTGTTCAATTATATTGCGCTTGCAACTTGTGTCTAAATTAATTTTACTTGTGTCTTTCTCGTCGGTAAGGTGTGTCTGCGTAACTTGTCTCCTACAATCGTCATCAAAAACGTTCTGTATCAGCAGTTGCATTTTTTTTTTGTCCTGATCTTTAAATGAAAAGCAGCACTTGTACCGACACGGGCAGCTGTGCGTGTTACTTTTTGTGCTGAAATCCGCGTTGCGAAATTGGAGGTGATAGACCCACTCGACGCCTGACACAAAAAGGCGACGCTTTCCGAAAGCCCATAAAACCCAAGTAGACCATTGAGACGCACATAAATAATGCGGCGGCAGCAACAGAAACTGCCTCTTCGCCGATCTTCAAATGGTTTGTGCAAAAACTTTTGACCCGGCGTCTTTTGCATCCGGAAACTCGCCCCAAAGAAAAACACAAAAGTTGAAAAGAGGGAGCACTTGTGTGACTTTTTCATTTCCCCCTGAAATAAGTTAAAAGGCAACTTTCCATTTTAATTTAATTTCAAAAAGCTCCTTTCTAAAGGAAAAATCAATATTGTCCTT